TTGGCAAAACTAAAGCGTATCGCCGAAGCTGGCATGCCTGTTTAAAATCGAGGTGTTTTATCGCTCTTCGGCCGATGGAGGAAAGTCAACACAAATTAGCATGCCGGTCCTACATCAGCTACCCGGCAGCGGTAAGCCGCATTAGGAATCACAATGGGCCAGCACCGGCATTCCGGCGGCGGCTTTGCGCATCGCGGTCCGCTGAAAGCATGTTTGCTGGGATGCTGTCAAAATCGTATCTAAAAAATATTTTATTTTTTACATACAATTAAAATACAATTACATACATACATATAATATATGTTATATATAAGACATTTTATTTTTTACATATTATTATAGTATGTAATACATAATAATGTATACATACATTATGTATGTATTTAAAGTTTATAGTAGTTTTATTTTATGACATAAAATATATATATATATATATATATATATATTTATATATATATATATATATATATATATATATATATATATATATATATATATATATATATAAATAATATATATATAAAATATATATATATATATATATATATATAAATAATATATATATAAAATATATATATATATATATATATATATATATATATATATATATATATATATATATATATAATAATAATAATATAGATTGCACATAAATTATTAATTTATGTGCAATATATATATATATATATATATATATATATATATATATATATATATATATATATATATATATATATATATATATATATATATATATTTATATATTTATATATATATATATATAAAATATAGATTGCATATATATTTATACTATATATATATATTTATATTTATAGGCTGACCTTTATGCAGGCTGACCAGATTTTTTGGGAGAAAAAAAGAGTATACTTCATGAACCCAGTTTTAAGTCAAACACTTCCTAGTTTTTTCATGTCAGTCACAAAAATATTTCTTTAGTATTTATGTTAACACATAAAAAAAGTTTGAAATGCAGCTAAATCTGTGTATAGTCAATATATTTTTTAACATAAGTTACAATATTTGATACACAAAATTAGTTTTGAGATATTCGATATCTCATTGTATCATATTGTATATATACAATATCATATTGTAGTGATAATTTGCTGAATTTTCTCCAAAAAAAATAGGTTTTCCATAAAGTTCCTTAAAAAGAGTATATTCAGTGACTTTAAAAAAAAAGAGAAAGTATCAAATATTTTACCTCAAAAAGAGTACAACACTGTAAAAAAGAGTATGTCTGATCAGTCTATAATATGGTGTGTTTTGTGTATGATATTTATTATTATTCATATTACATTTTAAAAATGGTGTCACTTCTTTGATCAGATATCTGTATCACACCATCTATATTAATAATAATGTTATTAATATTTTTGATTTAATTTATTTTTGTTATTATTGCTACAAATTATTGTTTATTATTTTATAATTGTTATTGTTATTATTATTTACCTTATTGTAAAAACTGTTATGGAGAGTTGTAAATGGAGAATAATTATAAACAGAATTTATGAATAAGCTCAATCTTAAATTCAAATTAAAATAATTTAAAGTTTTAGTTTAAAATGACCTATTGGACCAAAAGACGAAAGATATGCGCTAATGTAGAACAATGTTTAGAAGTGTTGGAAGAATCGCGTGAATCAGCTAGTGATTCTGTTGGTGTTTATTTAGGTTATGAAATCTCTGAAAATAAAACTTCTACAAGTAGCACAACTAATAAAAGTATTTTAGATATAATTTCTGCTGAAGATCTTTCATCCACTAATGTGCAGACAACTCTAAACATTGTTAATTACGATAAAAATGAAATAAAATCTCAATATAGTTCTGATTCGCATGGCATTCAGGGAAGTATAGTTAACTCAGCTAGCTTTGAAGATTATGAGGATGAATCTTGGAAAATCAGTGAATTTAAGTACGATTTGCAAAAATGGGTTGTAGAGTTTCAGATAACAACAAGAGCCAGTTCATCGCATTATTGACAAAATCATTTCCTAATTTACAATTACCAAAAGACCCCAGAACTCTTCTTCAGAAGAAAGCTAATATTCCGATTAACATTATTTTAGGAGGAGAATATTGGCATTATGGTATTCAGCAGGGGGTTAAAGATAATATATATAACTTTAACTTAAAATGTTCTGATTGTGTGTCAGTTCAAATTAATATTGATGGATTGCCATTGTTCAAAAGTACAAATGGACAATTTTGGTCAATTTTAGGTTTAATTGAGCAATTTGAAGAAAGAAAACAATGTAACAAACATCCGTTTATAATAGGACTTTTTTATGGTAATGCAAAACCCAAATATGCATCTGAATTTCTGAAGAACTTTGTGGAAGAATCCAATACCCTTATTAATAGAGGTATTGATATTGGTGGGAAAAGGTGTATGTTTAAAATATCTGCTTTTATTTGTGATACACCGGCATGTGCGAATATAAAAGGTTGTAAAGGCCACAGTGCTTTTTTTGGGTGTGATAAATGTATTCAAAAGGGTTTTTATGTTGGAAGGGTTACGTTTCCAGTTATTAATGCAGAACTTCGAACAGATGAATCCTTTGCTAGTATGAAGCAAAAAGAACATCATAATGTAGAATCCACACTAGTTAAACTTAGTATTGGCATGATTACTCAGTTTCCTGGGGACTACATGCATCTTTATTGTTTAGGTGTAGTTAAAAAATTAGTTTATCTTTGGGTTAAAGGTCCTTTGAATGTCAGATTAGGTCCTAGAGATATAGTTAACCTTTCAGATAAACTAGTTGGTTCTGCAATGTCTTTGCCAAAAGAGTTTGCTCGCAAACCAAGACCCATAAAGGAGTTTGAACGATGGAAAGCAACCGAGTACAGACTGTTTGGCTTATATACTGGTATTGTATTTCTACGCAAAATATTGCCAGTTCCTTTGTATAATAACTTTTTACTTCTGTCTTGTGCAACGAGAATTTATTTAAGTCATGATTTGTCTCAAAAATATGCACATCATGCTCATACATTATTAGTTAGTTTTATTGAACATGCTTCCTCTCTGTATGGAGTTGAAGTTTTAACTTATAATATGCATGGACTTTCCCACTTATACCATGATGTGGAAAAGTATGGTGTCTTAGATAACATTTCAGCGTTTCCATTTGAAAATTATTTGGGTAAATTGAAAAAAATGTTCAAAAAACTAAGTTATCCTCTGCAACAGGTTGCACAATCACTAATCATGCAAAATGCAGTGCATTGTGTAAATAGTGTATCAAATGCAAAATACCCTCAGTTAAAAAAAGAGCATTATTCGGGTATATTGCCAAACGGTTTACCAAATATTACATCTCAGTATTTGCAATTGTACTTAAAAGACTTTTGTATAAAATGCTCATCTGGTGATAATTGTGTTGGGTTAAAAACTGGTGAAATTATTATTGTCAACAACATTGTTCAAACAGCCGGGGATTCTGGTGATATTTTTATAATTTACAACAAGTATAAACAAATAAACCGTTTTTTTATTTCCCTTGGAATTCTTCGCATATAGGTATCTATAAAGTTACAGATCTTTGTGATAGTAATCTCTTTTGCTCTGTAAGTGAAATCAACAAAAAGTACGTACTCCTCTGTTGCAATAAAAATCAAGTTGCAATTCCATTATTGCATTTTTAGACTTTTTTTGTATATATCTGTACGTGTGAAGTTATGTAAAGTAAAAACAAGTTTTTTTTAAATATATAGTTTTTGTTCAAAAGCATTTTTACTTGTATACGCTTTTTTTTTATTATCTGGTTATAATTTTGCTTTTTTTTAGATCTAGATTGTGTTTATGGTCTTTTGGTTTAGATTTTATAATGTATATATATATATATATATATATATATATATATATATATATATATATATATATATATATATATATATATATATATATATATATATATATATATACATATATAAATAGAGAGAGAGAGAATAAAAAATAAAACATAGAACTTCGTAAATGTTTTGACAATTATTTTTCAAACCATAAAACTGCAAACCTCCAATATTCTCTCCTTTAAATCAGATCTATATATACCTTTTTTAAACAAATAATTGTTTATATTAGATATGTTATTCTGGAATAATCTAAGTTTATATATATATATATATATATATATATATATATATATATATATATATATATATATATATATATATATATATATATATATATATATATATGTATATATATATATATATATATAATCTTTGAAAGTCATTTTCTTGTTGTACGTTAAAATATGGGTAGAATTCAATAAATACGGCTGCGTATAAACTTTTTTTTAAAATATTTATATATTTTTTCTTTAATATATAATTATTTCAATAATTCGCTGATATATATATATATATATATATGTGTGTATATATATATATATATATATATATATATATATATATATATATATATATATATATATATATATATATATATATATATATGTATATGTATATATATATATATATATATATATATATATATATATATATATATATATATATATATATATATATATATATATATATATATATATATATATATATATATATATATATATATATATATATAATATATATATACAGTCCGCGAAATTCGAAGGATTTTAGGTCGGCACGAGTAAAAAATCGAGTAAAAAAAAAAGGATGCATTATTTTTTTAAGAAAAACTTTCCAAATGTGAGTTTTTCAAAATTTCTTTAAAAGTAGTTACAATAACTAAATAATAACCTTATATTGAACAAATATTATTTATTTTTTAAATGTTTTTATTTATGTATGCCGACACTTTAAGAGATTCAGGTCGGCAGTTGCCTGCCATCGTAAAGCAAAGAAAGGTCGGCTTTTGCGCCGGCATTGCGGAATGCTGACCTGAATTTCGCGGACTAAATATATATATATATGCATATATATATATATGCATATGTATATATAATTATTATTTTAACAGATTTAATTTATTATAACAAACATAATTGACTAATGGCGAGCAAAGGTTCATATGCAGTAGTATCTTTTTGTAAAGAAAATGGAGAGTTATCTGTGATACCTCAGGCGTGGCTGTTAGCAGATGGAGATGGCAAGTTTAATCGTTGCTACTGGCCTCCTTTTGCCAGACAAGAGTCCATTGATAAGGCAATACATAGTTCAACAGCTTGTTCTATTTTATGGGCACAGCATCCAATTCGGCTTATGGCAGTGGCAGGTATGTACATAAACAGCATTAAAGTCAATATTTTCTTCAAGATTTTCAAGATTTTCTTCAAGATTTTCTTCAAGATTTTCTTCAAGATTTTCTTCAATATTTCTCTCCCCACATTTTTAAAGTCTATTATTTCAAAATATTTAATCTTGATAGTAGGGTAATTTTACGTGAAAACATGGTTTTCGACTTTGCGTTTATTCTGTATGCATTAAAAAGCTGAGAATATGTACCTATACCATATTTTGGGATTAGGAATCCGATGAAACAGCTTAAAAAATCTAAAGTTATAGCATTAAACATAATTTTACTGGGCAAGTTAAATTAAAAAATGCTGATGTAGCTCAAAATTTTTTTTTTTTTTTAAAGTTGCCTCAAATAGTTTAGTTAAAATAAATCAGAAACAAAAACAAAGTTAAATTAGGACTCATTTTAGTGTTCATACTTTAGTGGCCCCCCAGGCCATTTCCAAGACCTAACCAAGGGGGTTAACAACCAATAATTTTTCTGTCAGAAGCAGGGATGCGAAGTCCCATCGATTTTTTGGGACTCCGGGACTCCGGACTCCGAGCTCAAAAATCATGGACTCCACGGACTCCGACTCCGGACTCCGGACTCCGTAATAATTTTTTTTTTCTTCATTTAAATATGGGGTTTTTATTATTTGGAACTTTTACGCGAAAGTTCCGGAAAAATGAAAGGGTACCAATAATATTTTCTCTTATGAATTATATATATATTTATTTTATGTACCCTAAGAAGTCCTTACGGTCTTATAACAGCGCACCTTAGAAAAGCAATTAAAAGGAAATTCACTCCTACTTCCTAACCGATGTCGCAAAACCAAAGGTGGTTTTGAACCACGGATCCCTTATTTTTTTTAGGAAAGTGCGCTACCACTGAGCCACGGCTGCTTAAACCCAAAAGTTAATTTGTCCCGCTTTTGCTGGATCGTAAGAATTTATAAGAACAATACAACTCCAAAGATTTTTATTTGATTTGTATTGTCGCACTCAATTTCTCAGATTATTTGAAACGACATGATCATAAAATTATAAAAAGATTTAAATGCTTATTTGCATTAATTACACGCTAAATTAAAAAGTTATAAGGACAAAATATTATAATATTTACATCATCAAAAAACGTTTAAATAAAAAACTCGTTTGTTCGTAAAAAAAGCATATCATCAATTAAATCAGACGTAAATCGACTACGATGGTCTGGTGTCATGTGCTTTAAGACTGAAAACAGACGCTCGACACTGACTTGGGATATGGGTAGCGACAAAGCAACACGGCAGGCGTCCCGTACAACTTCAGGGAACTGCTCAATTGATTTTAATGGGTTAAGTTTTAAAAACTCGTCTAAGTTGGATGATTTTTCTTTAAACATTGAACGGATTTCCGGAATTGTTTTTAGAGCTAGTCGAAACTCCTTTTCGATTACATCTAGTTGAACCTGCATTTGTTCTTCTGAAGAATTTTCTTGAACCTCCTGTTCACACAACTTAAATAAATTTGGTCGACGCTTTGCAACTGGTGAAGCATTCTCCTCATTTTCTGAACTAGAGTCTGACACATAAACTGCAAAAGAGTTGCGCTCTACTGCTTTTTTGGTTTTATTGAGTTCATTATTCTTATTTTCATTAGCGAGTTGAATAAGTTTGTAATGTATTTTCCAAAGTCCATCAGCTGCAGTTATCTATAGAAGTATTTATACTTTTTGGAATATGTATTTTTTAAAGTTAAATAAATAAATATATATAAATAAAATTTTATTAAAAAAACAACCTTGTCTTCAGTCGCTGTTAGCATACAGCCATGCCTAATATCAACGTAAACTGCTGCAAGAAACAACGGATTTTCGCGTAGCGCGCTTTCTCTATTATCCATTCCTTTTTGGAAATCTTTGGCTAAGTCACTGTCCTTCCCGTCAAGTTCACACTTAATTGAATTCCAATCAAAAAGAAATTCGCCTGCGGTGATATTTTCACGTTGAAGACGAATAGTAAGATCGCGTGCCATATGCAATACATCTCTCAATTCCTCCCACATACCCCAAAAACATGGTCGCACATTAAATTCTTTAGGAGCTTCTTTTTGCATATTTAGATTTTGAATTACTGGTCGAATCTAGAAGAACAGAAGAATTCATTAAATATATGTACAAAGTTATTAACTACTTAAATAAAGAGGATTATTAAAGAAATATTTACATAAACTAACATTTAAAAATTATTAAGTAGTATAAATGTCATTACCATTGAAATAATTGGATTTATATTATACCGGTGAGAAAACTGGCTTATACACTTTGATTAAAGCTTAGAAGTTATAAGTTATAACTTACCTTAATTAGCCTCTCAATCATATTGAACTGGCTAGACCAACGGGTAGCCTGATCTAAAATTGGAATGAGATGTGGAGTCTGGTCTCTGAAGAAGTCAATCCACTTCGAATTTCTTGCAGCTTTGACAACATCTCTGGCATGGTTAATTAGATTTTTTATTGTGGGCCTTTTCAATGCATCATTTACGGCTAGCTGTAAAGTGTGGACAGCACATCTTTGAAGATGTATAACACTCATGCTACTGGCAACTCCACTTGCCAAGACTGCTTCCGCATTGTCTGCTTTAGAATAACCATCTTCGTCAAATTCATCAGTTTCTACTGAAAAATCGTCTTCGTCATCTCCAATATCTTCAACGGCGCTGATGCCAAAGTCGCGCACCAACTTTATATTCACCTAAGGATATTAAATATGATTTCAATAGTTAAAGTTTAGTGAACCTTACAGTATACAAAAGATTTTATCAAAATAGTTTAATTTTTAAATGATTTTATGGAAAATAATAACTTTAATCACATAATTTAAAATTTTTTTTATTAACAAAAAATATAGTGAATTTCAAAATATGTTACTCACTGCTGCGTTGTCAACACTGAGGCCTAAAATATTAATTTTATTGATTCCAAACTTATCTAAACACTTCTCAATAATTTTTTTTGTGTATTCCGCCGTTTGTTTTCCCTTTGTATCAATCGTGCCAAGATTGATCACAGCAATTTCATCATTGTTCGAGTATTGGGCATTTATACCGAGGTAGTGACGCATATGCCTTGATGTAGAATCGACTTTCAAATAAATTAGCATTTTCGATAATTTGTTTTTGATTTGTTCGCGATGCTTTTTGGCAAGATCGATAATTTGAATTCTCATATTATCTCTATTCATTTTAAATCCAAAATGAGATGAAACTTTTCCGCAAAGCTTTTGAATAGGTTCCCGATCAAACGCCTATAGATATTGTTTTTAGAATGATAAATGTTAATTTAAAAATGCCAAAAAAACATATAACTGTCTAGATTTTTTTTTTTTAATTAAAAAATAATTACTAACGAAAAAATAAATTGAACCTGGAATGAAAGACCTTCAACCAAAACCAGCTGGTTTAAGGCTTCTAAAAACTCATCTTTTGTAATATGCAAACTAATTTGCTGTGGTACAAAACACTTTAATATGGATTGCTGTGAAGTGCTGCCTTTGATGGCTGTATATTTTTGCTTCTTATTCTTTTCTTCTATTTTTTTTTCTAATTTTTTTTTTTCTAACGTAATGAGGAGCTCCGCATGTTTTCTAGATAAGTGTCGTATAAGGTTGCTAATGCGAGCTTTTGCGGCACATGTAATTTCTTTACCACATAACTCGTTACTTTTACTTTTTTCGGGTACAAGACATTTGAAGCATACTACTTTGCATCCATTCAAAATTTTATTTGTGCGATGAAAGTGTCTGTAGATCGTATCTGATGCATAGTTAGTGGCCATTACTGGTCAAGATTGATACACGCGAGTTAATAGCAAATATTATTTTAAAGAAAGAATGTTGTTATTGCAAGTTATTGTGAACATGTAATGTATTTTCTTTGTGTTATATATGCTTCGCAAAATTAATTTTTTGTAAAACAACCCACGAAAACATAGTTAGGAAAGCTGTTACAATGGCTAGTTATGAATCGATGACGTTAGTAGTTTTTCTGTAAAAGAAATTGCTGTGCAAAATAATTTTTATTTATTTGTTGAGGTATTTTTATAAGCTTTTTTTGGCTTCTTTCTGACCTTGATGGTACGTTTTTTGCCAACTGTCTAGATCGTTAGCTTGATTTTATAGCGCAAACTCACAGACAAATTTGTTTTTTTATTGCGTATAATTAATTTGCTAGTGAAATTTGATTGCTTTTCGTATCTAAACCATATTGCTTTCATTACAATTTTTCATTAGGCGTTATTAAAATAAAATTTTTTATTTTATTAGCAGAGTAGACTTTTTATTTTCTTAGACAGAGTCATGCCATTTTGGGTTGAAATTAAAAGAAATAAAAAGATATATATTTTTTTCTAATAGTATTTACAAGCTTCATTTATTTATAAGTATAGTTTCCTACTATAGTTTACAGTTTTAAACAGTGCTTAAACAAAGCAAAAAATATATCGACAATTTTTTTTTAAAGAACTTGACTTTGGTAAAATATTTGTCTACTGCTCATAACCTAGTTAATCTATTCTAATCGACTTTCTTTCTATGATCAATCTAAAAAATTAAAGATAACGAAAAAACTTATGCATAAAAGCAACTTCAACACTAAAATATCATTTATCTCTAAATTTGATAAATATTAAAAAATAATAAAACAACTAAGCGTTCAAACATATCTTTATCTGCAGGTCTAGCCAGTGGCGATTTTGTGAATAAAATGAGGAGGATGAATCCTTCAAAAGTGACTAATGTCTTATAAAAAATATTTAAGTGTCGAATGTTAACTTCCTCTCTTTTTAGGAAAATTGTCCCTGGGTCTCGAAATTTGATGATGAGGAAATACTTAAATAAACAGTTAATCATAAGTACTTTCTTAACGGGATAAAAAAATTAATTGTTTTAAAACTATAAATAAATAAACAAAAATTGTTACATATAAAATGAAAATAATTTGCGAATAAAAGTTTATTAACTTAATATAAAACTTAACATTAAATATCATGAAATTTTTAAAGTTAAAACACTTTATTTTTTTTAATTAAATTTAACAGAAAAAAAATTTTTAAACAGTTTCTTTAACAAAAAAAACTATTAGATCGCAATTGCGGTTAAATACTTTTATTTACAACATTATATTTTCTGAATAAACGTCACATCAACGATATCAAAATAAAAATTAAATATTCTAAAAGAAGAAAGTTTTCTCTTAACGTTAAACTGCTGAACGCATAAGCATATGGCCTTTTCGCACGTAAAATGCGAGCTTGGTAACGCCTCTTAACAAGGCGTAACATTCTAACCGATACTCAATCTGAGTATTGGTTCGAATTAGTAAGGAAGGAGATGAGCTTTCCGGTCAAATGCTCTTTTACAGTGTTTTGTGACAAGACTATCAGGTATTTCTTATGCATATTAATAACTATAAAAAAAAAAAAAAGAGTCCTGGAGTCCTAAAATTTTTATGGACTCCCGAGACTCCGGACTCCGGGCTAAAATAGGGACTCCATGGACTCCGACTCCGGACTCCGACTCCGGACTTCGCATCCCTGGTCAGAAGTAATTAACAGTGGTTGATTGCCATTATTGTATAGGTCTCAGGAATGGCCCAGGGCGCCAATGCCTGATCACTAAATTTAGCTACTTAATTTATTTTTTTGTGTCGCAACTCCTGATATTATATTTACAATTTTTTCTTATTTCATTAATGTCATATTTTAAGATTTTTTTATTGTTTTACTGTTTTTTTTTGCTTTTTTTCAGATTCTTACCCAAAAGCTGTTGAGAAATTAAAAGATGCTCAGTATACATCTGATTTACAAACAGAAGTTGATGAAGTCTATCAACGACCAAAGCGTAAACGGTACTTTATATTATTTACACAAACAAAGAACATTGTTCTCAGTAAAACCCCTAATGTAATAGTTGGTAAAAGTTGGCTTGTAATTGTTAGTTTTTTCACATGGCTTTACAATTAAAACTTCAATTTATTTATTGTTTCATTAGTATGGGTTAGTAATAAAAGTATAAAATTTATATGATTCTGTATATAAAACTTTGTGGACAATATAGTTTTTTGGTTTTTCTATTTGTCTGATATAGTGAGGGGTATAGTCTTTTTTACATTTTTTTACTCTTAATGTTCTAATTATCAAATGATAATATATTGTCAGTATGTCATATATGTCAGCAATTATATTTAGAAAAGCAAGACAATCGCTTGATGATGCTGAAAATGATAGCGTTGATGAGAATGTTAGTTCTCATATTCAAGAAACAATTAAACAGTCAAAAAAGTTAAAATTCTATTCTCAAGCACCAAATGTACCACCTTTTCCTATTGATGCTTTGGTACCTGGTAATAGTAATACACCTGATACAAATGAAAATTTTGATAGCAATTTTAAAGACGATTTTGTAGTGGGTGAGAGTTCAGAAAATAGCCAAAATAATAACTTTGCTTCAAAGTATGCTGGAACAGGGACTGAGCATTTCACTACAAACTTTGAATTTGTTTTTAAAAACTTTGCAAAACAAACTTTTAAAATAATGGCGGAATTGAAATCGACCTTGTTAGAAGTCCAAAGTCAGGTTAATTTAAATACGCAACATCTGCAAGCATTGACTGATGGAGGTTTTGAAACTGCTGATAGGCTTTTTGAACAACTTGAATTGCCAATTGGTAATATATGTGATTTTCTTGATTTAAATCTGAAGCTTTCAGACAAAGTTTTGTTCAAGAGACTGGTGAGGAAACCGTAATTTTTTTAATTTTTTTGAGTTTTTTTCTGTTATATTCTATATGTATTTTAAATATGCAATTTATGGTTTAACTAGGTGGTTGCTGTTTCTTCCAAAGGCGGATCTACATTAAGAGAAGCCGTGAAATTTATGTTAAGGAGCATGTTAAATAATACAGTTTTAAGAAATTTAAACTGGACAGGGCAACCGTCAAAAACCAAATTCGGAAATACAAAATGCCATCAAGTTATTTTAAGTATGTATTTATAATATTTTAAGAGTCTAAATACGACTTATATTATAAATTGAAGGATGTAGATATTAATTATTTGATTGATTGTTTAGTAATATAATTTTTTAATATAAAATTAAATTAGTTTTATGAATAAATGTTTTCCATAAGCCATTACACATTATTTTCTCTTCTGCAAAAAAACATTTGAACCTGTTTTTAACAAAAATGTTTCAATAG